TAAGAGGGTACAAGACAGTATGTGAGAAGGTGAAAAATAAGCCTTCCCCTACCAACAAAACCTCTATTTCTTGTCGCTTCTAGCTCTGTAAGGTGACACTTCACTTGTTAGTCCTTTTACTTTTTAGAACCTTCTTGCCCTTAGTAGAGGAAATGCGTACTTGAGTCTTTTCAGGCCACTAGAGGCTCAAGTTTTTATTTAAAGGAGTTTATAAACAAGTAAGGGAGGGTAAAGGAGATATATGAAAACAAGCTTCAAGTTGTTTTAATAAAAGTATAAAGACTTTATTAGCAAGAAAGTATAAAACTTCTTGCGAACATCTTTTTTGTATGTGGTCAGAAGATCAGTAGAAAGAGTTTTTATAGCAATAATCTATTAATAATAATATATAAATTGAGAAAGTATTTATTCAAAATATACTATAGAATTAAATATTATTCCCAAGGTTATATTTAGAGATTGAAGTTTTTTTGAAAGTAGAAAGTCATTAATAAGTAAATTAATATGAAATTTAGTTTAACTATAATGCAATTGTTTATATATCTCTATCAATTTTTTAATAATTAATAAATACATAATATTGATCTAGTACAATATATAGTTTCAAACTAATTATATTAATAATACTATTAATAATCATATATCAATTATCTAATTTTTAGTTAGATATATTTCTTTATTTAAGAAATATATAAATTTGTTTAGGTTATGATAATTTATTATTAATTTATATATAATATATGAAATAATTAATATTATATTTAAAATATAATTATTAATAAAAAGTTTATATTTAATATTGGTTGTGATTAAAATTACCAAATAATAATTTGATATTTAAAAAATTTTTTATATTATATTTTATAAAAAATTAAGTAATAAAAAAAAATTAATTGTATTATTAAAATTAAAAATTAATATTTTTTTAATTTATATAATATTAGATATTTTATTTAATATATTTATAAAAATATATTATAAAGCTTATAAAAAGTTATATCAACTTTAATAATTTTATTATATAATAAAATTTAAATTTATCTTTATCTTTATTAAAAATTATTGTATTAATAATTTTTTAATTATATAAATAAATATTTTTGTTTTTATTATAAAAATTCAATTACATTTTCAATAAGCCTTGAGTTTTTATTTTATAATTATTAATTTTTCAAATATAATATAAAAAATTTTTTTCAAAAAACTTTTAAAATATTTTTTAGTTAAAAATTTTGACTTGCATCTTTGTCTTATACTTGTAATAAATCTTTTAATTAAAACTATTATCTACTTTAAGAAAAATTTTTTACAATATATTAAGACTCTAACTTAATATTTATATATACTAATTTTTTTGTCTTTACCTAATTTCAAAAGATGAATTGAATAGATTAATTGATTTTTTATAAAATTTATTGTTATTATTGATTCTAAATTATTATTTTTAATATTATTTATCATTGAATTTTACTCAAAAATATAATTCAATTAATAAATACTAAAATAATTTAATAGATTTTTTCTTTTGTATTTCTAATATAAATGTAAAGTAATTTTATTATATTTACAGTAATAAATGTCGTTGTTTACAGTATTAACCAATTAGTTTTTTAAAAGTACGATTCTAATTTGATTTTGGATCAAACCGAATCAAACCATCACTTTATATAATCACTCATTCACCCACTTACCTAACTACTCGTCCACCTGCCCGCCTATCCACCAAACTCGTTCAACCATCGCCTATCCATTCACCCATCTCACACACCCATTCATATCTATCCATTCACCCACAACCCATTCACCTACTCGTCTTTCTTTCTATTTACCTACCCACCTGCGCATTTACCCACCTCGCCTACTTATTCACTTACCTGCTCATCCATCCTAACCACCTATCCACAAAACCCATACACTCACTTACCCATCCATTCCATTCCTATTTATAGTGGAGAGGGGTACAAGCACGATAATATTTCTATCAAATGTACACAGATTCTATTTTTATCAATTACATCATTTCCGGCTAAAAAAGAATGGTAATCAGGAGAAATAAAAATAGAATCAAGTGCTACTCTACGTTACGTTACTTTCGATTACGTGGTAAATTAAAACGATCCTCTCCTTTATAACCATTTTTGTAAAAGCATACGAGTCAAATGTTTGATGTTTCATTGTTGAAACGGAATTGATGCGCAATCCGTCAAACAAATACGTATACTAATAAGTCCTGGGAGTTTCAAATTTAATGAGGTTTTGTCGTAGCAAAAAAGATAATTGGGAAATACCCATGAAAAATTCAAAAAAAAAAAAAATCGAAGGCATTATCCAGGCATGATAGCTTGCGTCGGGGTACAAAACATTTCATGCGTTCACGATTGAGAAATTCCCGATCTTTGCTGCAAGAAACGAAAAACCTCTTCCTTCCAATTTCAATGGAAAGCATTGAATTATAATACATAACCAATCTATCCTAAAAATTAAATTAGGAATCTCGTAATTAATATAATATTAGGAAAATTTTCTAGCGGTTATAGGAATCTCGTAATTAATATAATATTATGATAATCATAATTATATTATTGGACACAAAGCTGACACACAAAAGCGCCTTGTTTAGGAACTTCTTTTTTCCAAGCCTTCAAAAATACATAATTATTCACAGCCGTATTTAAAGGACTAACCGATTAGGTATAGGCGTATCAAGTATTTTTTTTTTTCTTTTTGACAAAGCTACTTTTTTAAAAAAATGTCGCTTCCAAAAGATACGCGTGATAAAATTCCCGAAGCTGAGGAACAACACAAACCAACAACTACAGAATCTCAGTCAATAACACATTTTCCTTCATCTGCTGCCTCTTCATATCCCAAGATATCCGAAGAAAGTGATGAATTGAGTACAAATCAGAATACACTGCCACCTCCATATTCCCCATCAGCTGAAGCCGATATCTCACTTAGCATCCCCACAAAAGTTACAGGAACGTCCTCTGGTGACACTAAAATATATATCGGCGATTATTCTCTACCCTCGTCAGATTTAACACCTCAAAATTATGCTACTTCAACCACCATTACCACCCAACCTTCTCCAATTCAATATCCCTCAATTAGTTCTGCCGATTTGCGAAACCACCAACATGGTGTTTCATCTCGAAATTTGTTGTGTTCAGAGTCGGTACCCTTGAGATTCTGTAAAATTTGTCAAGAACCAGAACAACCCGAACTTCTCGAAAGTTCACAAGATAATACTGACAATAGTCTTCAGCTATCGTACGCAAAAGACCGGTTGATTTCTCCATGCAAATGTAAAGGTTCTTTACAATACGTCCATCTCAGCTGCTTGAATGAGTGGCGTTCCACCACCTTACGTCAGGACGCTTCATACCGGTGTGAAGTGTGTAAATACGAATATAAATTCTATAGACCAAAATTGGCAAAAGTCCTAGAAAGCGCAATATTTCTTCACACTACGACTTTCATAATATTCCTTTTGGTGATTTATGGGATTTCGTGGATTATACGAGTAATCGATAGGAATTTAATAAATAAACATTCGCCACCTCCAGATTCAACCGCCCCAGGCGGCTGGATATACACCAATATCTTGGGCGTGGAAGCACTACACTTAATAATCGGGGCAGTTATGATATCGTTTGTGGGTGTATGTTTTTTGATGATTAATTCGTGTATTAACGGATATAAATCGACGAGAGATGATTATTGCCGTTGTGGAGGATATGAGTGTATGGAATGCGGTGGGTGCTATTGGTTCGGAGGGTGCGGAGGAGGGTATGGTGCTGGAGAATGTGGGGGTTTTGTTGTGGTATTGTTCATTATCATTATAACTATGGTATTTGCGGTTGGAATATTTGGAGCTCTGAGCGCGGGATATCTCTTGATTCAAAAGGTTAGTAGTATTTACTTAGATAGAATTAAGGAGGTTATTTTGGAGGTTAAGAAAGATCAATAGAGCACTATTTTTCCATTCGATATGGTAAAAAAAAAAATTCATGTTTTTAAAAAAATTTTCATCTTTATTTATTTGTAAAATATTTTTTATGCACTTGTATGATTTTTAAAAAAATTTTTGTACACTCGTTGTTTAATAATTTTTTAATTGTAATGCAAGATTATTACAATTAAATGTTATAAATTATTATTTACAATCAATTATTATTTAGATTAAATTTACAATTATGTCATCATGGTATCTTTTATTGAGATATCAAATAAATATCTATAATATTACATGGACTTTCACATAACAACTAACTCATCTTTGTACATTATTAGTTAACAAATTACATTACTTAAAAAATATAAGTTCACTAAGTTAATTTGAATTAAACAAACAAAGTCTTGATTAGATACTTTAAGTTAGAGAAAATAATATTTCACTCTCTTAATAGATTGAACTAAGATCTCTATTTATCAAAAACATTATCAATAGTTTGTTATTATAAATTATTTTGAAAAACAAATTGTTAAGCTTTATTTTTATTTATTTATTTTTTTTTTATAATGTTGGCTTAGCCTTGTTTTATTTATATTTATGCAATATTATTATATAGAAGTTTTCCAAGATATATTACCAGTCTACTATTAAACAAAACTCAACAGAGATAACCTCTCTTAGAAGAAACTCACCTTATAGCTTGTTATTACACCTTTAGTAGGAGATAACCTGCCAAGGTTAGATTAGTATTAAAATCAGTTTCAAGGATATAAAAGTTGTTTATTACATTTATTATCCATTGAGTTATGAATTCATTACCATAATTTTTATTAATAATATATCAGTATATTCATATATATCAGGAAATTTTTTTGGTGGAGAACTCCAGAGATCTCCACCTGTTAAAAATTTTTCAGAAAAAACTTCAAAAATCTTTTAAAATTTTGAAAATTTGTAAAACAAAAATAATTTCATTAATTTTAATAATAAAAAACTTTGAATATTTTTTATTTTAAAAA